GAACGGATGTAAGGACACATGGAAGGATGGATGGAAGGACAGACAGATGGAAGGAAGGAAGGAAGGAAAGTACAACTGCCCTGTGTGTCTTCAGAGCACACATACATTCCTTCTAAAATTCACCAGGAGGGATAGTATTTGAAAGTATGGCATGCACTGAGCCAGTATTAACCAAAAAATTTGAGATCATGGGGAGTTTTACCATTTCTCTTTCCTTTCTTAAAATCAATTAAAAAGCAATTGAATTCCAAGAACGAAAGTAAAAGATCAGGAAGATGTCTATGCAGATAATTTATAGATAACTCTGATATTCAGAGTTACCTAATTTGTAGATAACTCTGGATGATGATGCCTACTAACAAAAAACACAAGAAAACAAGATCTCAGAGCTCTTCAAACTGATCTCTTAAAATCTGCTGGAGACATGTCAGGGCCAGGCTTTCTCAGAGGCACTGCAGACTCCATTTCTGCCATATCTGTCCAAATAGCAGTGCCACTACCAGGCTGTAAGACAGAGAAGTGCTTCTCCTCCAGGCTGCCTCGAGAGCCCAAGCAGAGCTGGGGTACTCTGCAGAAGGAGGAAACTGCCTCTGACATCCTTTGCAGAAACTGTCATGGTCCACTAAAGGGGTGGGGACAGAGACTTACCACTCCCTGTCCAGAGGCTGCTGCTCATCCTAGAGCTGTAGCCAGGCTGGGGACAGAGCCCAGCCAGGGGTGCAGGAGGACATAGAGCAGGAGCCATGTGGGAGGCTGTGGTCCTCCTCCACATGGTTCCTCTGGTTCTGACAGACAGGAATCTGAGTATCAATATTACACATAGTCGCAAGGATGAGGATGAAAATTGACCGGAAATACCAAAAGGACCAAGTAGAGAGAATAGATTTATTGACTGTCTAGACTGAAGTTAGTTTTGTATTCACACTTTAAAAGTTTTAATTAAGATTTACACTCATACCATCTAACCATTCCCAGGTTAGTTTTATACAAACATTAACCTTGACATTTTGACAACTTTTTTCTTTTCATTTAGTCTCTCATTCAAAGTTGTTTTCATTGTCTGTGGTTTAGCGATTCCCTTGGTTCACTTACACAACCAAGCCCTCTGAAGAGTGACAGCTCATCGTGCCCAGTGGCAGCTCCCAGCACAGCATTTAATTCTCGGCTCAAGCCGAGCAGTGGAGCTCTACCTCTGTGGTACTGCACCAGCATGACACCAGGTTTGGCGAGCAGTGATGTGAAATTTGCCTCCACACATGCACAATGCACTTGTGAGGACAACACGCGGGTGCCTTCACAACTGGCAGGGCCAAGGGGCCAGCAGAGGGTGTGGGACCCTTCCTCACCTCTTTGCCTCAGCAAGATTCTTCTGCTGTCCCTCCTGCCATCACATACACATACGAGTCCTGTACCTCCCAGTGCAGTGTGTCTCTCTAGAAGATGCTGCAGCTCCTGCATGGGGGGGCTCTAAGAAATTCCCAGTAGCTTCTGCCGTGTGCTGGGACCAAGCTGTGCAGTATGCAAAGATCCTTTGACAGCGCCACATATTGATTTTGAAAGTCCAAGTTCAGCACTGTTGTATCACAGAAGTGCCCCAAATCACCTAAGAACTTAGAGCAAGACATACTTAAGTATTCCTTCTCCAGCTTTCTGAAGATATTTAGGCAGAAATGTATGCAAACTATGTAGGTTTACAGTGATGCAGGGGGGTGCTGTGAAATCATGCTGGAATATTTCCATGGCTCATGTCAATTAAATACCTCTTAAAAGTCTGAGCCTTTAAGTTCCACTGATGTATTTCTCCTCAAGTGTTTTTCTCTGCAAAGCTGCTGTGGTTATTAACTCATTGGAGCTCACAAGTTGCTGAGACAGGGCATTTGGGTGTTAATGGCAGCACTTTAATAGACAAGTAGAGAGAGAGAGAAGTTTTAACATGTATCTCCCAAGGGAGACAGGATAACTCATCAACTATGAAGAAAGGAATAACCCTAAGCTCTGCATCCCTGCACATCTTGCCTTAAGACTGCATTATATTGGAGAATTTCTGTTCCAATCCCACTGACAGAATGTGAGAAACTGGTCTTTCAATTTTGCTGGAAAAGGGGAAAATGAAGGATTTTGTTGTTTGGAACAAAAGAGCAAAGGTGGTAAGATGGTGTAACTCAGACCAAGTCCCATGGAAGGCAGGAAATGTTGGTGATAGAAATTGCTAGAGAACAGTAATGGCTGCAGAGAAGCCAGGAATGTAGATAGTGTAGTCGTGGCCATTGAGGACCAACCTTTCTTGTAAAAGCTGCCTGCGTGTCCTCCTGCTTCTCTTTCAAATATAGTCCAGCACGTTGTTGACTGGATTAATTGAATGCATTCTCTGGTTCGAGTTTTAGGAGTTCAAGATGAGAGCACAGACTCGGTCGGTCTTACTAGAGGTAACTTTCTAACTCCAGTGTGACTCAGAAGATAAGAAGAACGGTGACATTTTACAAAGTAGGGCTGCCTAAAAATGTGAGAGATTCTGCCTCATGTAAGGCCGAGGGGAAAAGAAGGTTGGGACTGCATTTTTAATATTGTTTGGGAATCCAGGTTCCCAAGACAGGCGATGCACATCCTTGTGAGCACGAGGGAACACTGAGGAGAGTGCGTGACCCTGTATCACCATGTCCCTCCTGGAGACAGTGGCAACATGTTTATAGCAGGAACACAGTCCCTGTTCCCAGAGCAGGGAAGGGCAATGGGGACCTGAGGAACCAAACAAACACCGTTTTTAAAAACCTTTGCTCCTGAATAGCAAATACATCTCTCTGTTTGCATAAAGGGAGCATCTGAAGATTAACTGAGAAGTAACAAATGTGGGATTTTGGTACTGGAATTAGGATTTAGAGAAATCTGAGCAAGCAAGTAGTGTGTAGGGCTTGAGGTAAAATAGGCATGGCAATGAAACTGAGAAGGGAAACACCCTTGGGAATCCTGGAATAGAAACCCTCATTGATCTCTTCTGGAACTGAGAAAGAAAAATCCAGGTCTACAGATTGACAAGCGCTGTGTGAGGGAAAAAAGTAGATTACATTCAAGTGATAGTCCCAAATCAAAAGGAGTTCAGTAGTAAGAGACTTGTCAAAGCTTTTTTGTTTATAACTGAACTTTCTGGTTATGGATGTTATTCCCTAAGGATGTGACTGCATTGATTCCAACAATAAAACTTAAAAGAAAAAAAAACAACCCAGAAGACCATAATTCACTGAGTTATCCATAAATTATTTTCTCTGTCATGCAAAAGAAGAAAAAGACTGCCTATAAACATCTTGATTAATTCTGCAGCATCCTGAGGTAATGCTCTGTCAGAAACATAAATATTTTCTTTAAAGGAAAGTATTTTTTTAATCATTCCAAAGATTAGTGGTACTGATTTACCACTGAAAATTTACTTGTTATTTATTATGAGTTTATTAATATTATAAAAATCTAATCGATTTTCTCACATTGGTTTTCTTTTCTCACTTCACCTATATTTAAGTCTACCGTATCTGATTCCCATCTCTGACACAAACTTTATGTATGAACTTGAGTAGAGGGATTAATTTTTTATGCCCCATTTTCCTCCTTGTAAAATATGACTTTTGGAAAGAGAGTTCCCCAACTTTATTCTCCTAACATTTGGAATCTTTCTTCTAGTTTACAGTATGGATGGTAATGTGGTAAGTTTTCATACAGTATCTTTATCTAAATATCTCTATTAAATTAAATAGTTCTTTTCCTCTCCTGGTAGTTAGTTCCTGGATACCTTACAGACTGCAATTCTTTCCTCTTTCAGTCTGTGTTTTACTGTGCAACACAAGTTTTCTAGCCTTCTGTCATGGGAAAATGCTCCTCTGATCACCTCCATAACCCCCTCCATGCCTCTGTTTTGATGTGAGCTCTGGCGTGCAGTATCCAGATGGGATTTGTGTATAAGATGTTCCAGCAAAAAATTTTGCATAAATGCTTGTCCCCTCAAAAATAGAAGAATCTTTCTGAGCCTCTTCATTTATAAAAATACATCACTTACATGTGCTTGTGATATCCAAAGATCATTCTGTCCTCCACCCACCAACACACAAGGAAGATCCAGCTGAAAAGTCAGTGTTTCTTGGGGCACAGCCTGTCTAAGTAAAATACAAAATCAAACAATATGGCAATGCAAAAAAAAAAAAAGTGTGTGAGTTGCTGTACAGCTGTGATTTAATAAGAGTATTAAGCAAGAAAATGCTTGAAACCACTTTGCGGGTTGAGCATGGGACACCCTGTTTGTGTTGCTGTCCTCTCTGCCCCTCTGCCTTTGTCCACCTGTCCATGTTCTGCTCTCTCACAGCTGCTGGCTGCAAGAACAGCACTCAGTAGAGGCAGAGTAGCCCAACCCGGGGTCCTAGGGCCCAAAGAAGTGCCCTTTCATGGCGTCCTGGCAGTCACAAGGGTCAGCACGTGAAAGGAGGTTGCTGCTGACAAAGAGGAGACAGGATGAAGGTGCAGCTGGTGTGAAGTGCTGCCCTTCTGCAGGCTCAAGGCAGCTGTACTGGGCTGCCTTGGCTATGTGAGTGTTCTCTGTGAGGGGAGACCAGAGGTGCATTTAAATGCAATTAATAGGGCAGTATATGATAGTTCTGGTCGGGAGCAAACTCTAGTCTCTAAGAGACAGGTGTGACCACCTTGCTGCTGATGTGATGTGGGGCTGGGATAAGGGGGAAAGGTTAGGGACAGAAGTAGTCAGATGGGTAGTTTAGATAGGGCTGATACTCCTGGGATTTAAGCGGTGATGGCCTCCATTTGCAAAATGTAACTGCATTTAGTCTTCCTTTGTGCAAAATTTTTTCATTAGAAGGTACTGTCTAGTGATTGCTGCTTTTGTTTACTTTTTTCTAAAGTTTGTTTTACACTTACAGTTCTTGAATCAATCTGTTTTAGACTTTAAATCTCTAGTATTATGCCTCCAGATTGAAGCATTTTGTTGTGTCACTCCTTGTTTCTAGTGCCAAGATCACAGTCAAAAGGGTCACCAATGAAGATTTGTTCATGCAGCTAAGCAAACTGTTCATGGAGAAAGCTCTAAACGAAACAGGTCAGTTATACATATTTAGTTTTGGATATATGTAGTTTTCTGACTTAGGAGGAAGATTCTTTGTGAAATAATACAAAGAGAATTTTTTTATTTGTGCCTTTTTTTTAAGAGGTATTTGTGGAAAATACTGTATGGAAATAAGGTTTTTCCTAAAGTTGCCTAGAAACAAGCTGGATCCAAACCCTGTTAAACTTGATAAAAATATAAGATGAATGAGGTGAGACTCTGGGATATCTTGTCTTTGGTTTCCTCCCAGCTTTAGAGGTACACAAAGCTTCCTTTTTCTGGAAGATTTAAAGTGTAGTTCCAAACTGGCTGCTGAAAGTTACCAGTCTTTTAACATGCCTCTGGGCATCTCATTTCTGTTAGAGCAATCCTCTCTTTGACTATGTGTTCATATTCAAGCAGTGGGTCTCTCTGGGTGGCTTTAGTATTTTGCAGTGTCTTGTGCTTATAGTTTGCAAATGCCTCTGAATATCTCAATTTTTCAGAGAAGCTTGTTGGGTTGGAATTTTGCTGCCTGAAAAGGAAGGCTCAGGTGCATGCCAAGAGGTTTCTGCCTTGTGATTGTTGTTTCAGACTCCCTGGTGCCTTTCCATATAACTATCTGACAAAAGCAATATTGAGAACATGAGTGGCTCAAATTCCTGCATTTTCTTAATATAAAGAATGAATGTATTTTTTCTGTTGTCTATGTTCCTTATTAGGGTCTAATCCAGAAGGTTCTCATGGGTTTTGGATCAGGTCTACTGGTGTGTTAGGACAAACCATGTTCTGATCCATAGAGTTAATGGAACTAACCTGGGAAAGGTTTTACCCTGTGTTAAAGTCTCTGGTTTAAAAATACTTGCTTCTAGCAGGGAGGATAGTGGATTTGCCCATTTTTTTAGGACTGCCTTATTAGTGGTAGTTTCAATCCTAATCAGATTGTTCTTCAGTACTTAGATGCATCTTTGGGCTAACATTAAATAAACAAAAAAACCCCACTCAGAAACACAGAATAGTATTTTGCTTTCTGGACCCTGCTCTAGATGAGGTTCCTGGGTATCTTACACTCCCAGCTACCTAATACCAGCGTACTGTCTCACAAGAGGAATGTCTCTGACCACAGCTAGAACTAAACCATACTTTGTCCTTGAATATGAAAATTACTCTCCTGTGGCAGTAACTTATATAAGTTGTGTTTCTGGGTTCTCTTTTCATGCCATCAGCTCTTTCTTCTTTCACTAACAGAATAAAGGTCAGAAAATACAGATACTAAACTGCAGTTGTGAATACAAACACTTCAAATTTATTTGTGTGACTTCCTCTTTTGCAGAAAACTCTCCCCACAATGTCAAAATTGAGGCCAAAATCTCACAGAAAAGAGCAACTATTTAAAGTCTTGGCCCATTGTTCATCTCTTTTCCAGGCCAACCTATTCTCTGCTATTAAATTATTTACTGAGGAGGAGAATCAGTTTTATTCATCAGAGGAGCATTAGAATCCAACAGGACTGTGAATACATATTTAAAATGTTTACTAGTGTGTTCGAGCATATTCATTTAAAGCCTTTAGAGACTAAGTTGTTCATTACAACTTCAAATGAGGTTTGCCCTCATTGTCTTTTAACTTTCCAGACTGTAAGATGCTTGCCTTGGCTTTTTTGTTCAGCCCTGAGCATGTGGCTTTTTGTTTTGTGCTGAAGGTAATAACAGTAGTGAGACGTTTTCTGTGACATGAGATCCACTTGTGTGGACATGGTGTGTAACATTTTAGGTTTGAATTTATCCATGTTTGATGTGGGGGGGGGAATTTCCACTGATGCAGTGCTCTTTTTGCCAAAGACTACGGTGTTGTGGTTGCATTGGTTTTGGAATACTACCCTGTTATGCTTGAGAAGCATTTAATAGCACTACACTGGATGTCTTGCTTATTAAATCACTCTCATAGACCTTCCACTCCCGATGCAATCAGAGCTAAACAGCACTAATGCTTCTTCATAGCTATTAGCATTTCAAAAACTTACACTTCAAACAGTTCCTTCACATTTCCTCAAGATTTTCAGAGTCTTCTTTTGGATTACTTCTCAGAATGAAAAACAATGAAATATTTATTAAGCTTTCTGGAAAAGCTCTGGAGGCAGGATTTATTAATAGTGAAACTTCATTTCTGATGCTGTTGTTCTCAACTGATAAACTGTTTTATGCCTCTTTATGTTTTATTTTCACTCTTTAAAAGGTGGCATAGATTGCAACTGCTCATTATGAAAAATCTTTCCCTGGCTCCTGACCCAGCAGAAGACTGAATTCCCTGTGTTTAGGGTTAAAAACCTGAATCTCCTGACCTCTGCCTATAAACTCAGCATTGCTTGTATCAACTAAAGCAAAACAATTTCTGTTGTCTACTATTCACATATTTCTCCCAAGGTTGTTTCTGATTGTCCAAAACTGAGTTTTGGTGTTTAGCATCTTAGTACCAACGCTTCACAAAAGTATTTCCATCCCCTCTGCCCTGACATTTACTTCCCTATGTCCCAGTACAGCAGTCCATGATCCAGCATTTCCAGGAGTGCATGATGTGACTGAGATTGGGGGTATTATGATTTTGCTGGGGTGGATATAGATGGGTTTTGTTATTGCTGGGATGGTGGACAGAACTGCACTTAGAGGAAAACTTCTAGATCTCTTTCAGAGCTTTTCTGAACTGCTGACATTAATTTTACATTCTTAACATAGACTTGAAGCACCTGTGGCTAAAGAGATGCTTTTAGAGATGAAGTGATGCAAACCTAACTCTTGCTGATGATCAGAAACTTTAAGTGGCATCTTAAAGACCGTGGACTGTGGGGCTCAGGGCTTACTGTGATGTGGTAGGGATTAAAGCATTCGTGTGCAACATTCTCTGTGTAAAAGGCTAACACGGTCATCAAACATATGGATGTTAAATCCTTTGTTATACATTGGTGATCCTAGGTATATAATAGTATTTCAGTACAAATTGCTTGTTGTATTTAAATACAGTAAGTAAATCCCACGTGAAACTCAACGTTCTGAATGCAAAGCATTTTAAATCAGTGTTTCTAAAACACCGACTCCCAGTGCTCCATCAACAGTGTGATCTGAGCAGACTTCCCTTTCCTATAACCTACAAAGAATGAGGGAGTGAACTGAGACCTTATCCTTCACAAATCCACCTGTATCATCTAGAAGAGAAAAAAGCATCAGAATGTGTAATAACATTACAGGGGCATAAGCCAAAGCCTGGTCTTCCCTTCCGATTTTTTTCCCCAAAAAACAATAGGTGTGTTATTGTTCTTAAATTACCTCCAAAAAAATACTTTTCCCTCTAATGAATGGCACAGAACCCCTTTAGAAAGTAATGCCTGCAAACCATATGCTGCCTGGTTTTCATTAAAGATATACTTTGATGAACCCCCCCCATCTTAAACCAAATCCTTTCTGTTTAGGGTGGGCTGTAAGTATGTACATGATGACTGAAGTCACTGTGCCCTGATCAGAATTCTAATGCAATCACCACACCTCACTAGCTTTTGATAGGAAATTACTTGTTGAACTGAAACATTCTCTTGCCTCCCAAAATGGATAATGGATTATGGACAAAACCACAGTTAATGTCTTTAAGAAATTGCTCCTTAGAGTAGCTGGACTTTCATTAAGGAGAGTGATGAGAGGTTTGTTATCTGTATGGGCTACCTGTATTCCAGATCATTGTTCTGTCTTGATGTTTGCTAGTTTGCTATCTGTCTAACATCAAATTATTATATCTGAGAGCCTTAGGGCTAGTTGGAATCCAGAGGTCCCTCTGCACCTCCTCTGCTTTGGTGAGGGGATAAGACATCCCTTAGTAATTACCTCTGAAATTGAAAAAGACCAAAGCCTTTATCCCCCGCTAATGTCCAGATCTGTTTTGGCTTATTTTTCACACTTTATCTATATTTAATTAGAATTTTAGAGAAAATGCAGCTTTGCAGCTGTAGTAACCATCCTGAAATATCAATTTCTGAACCTCGCCATGAAATTTTGCTGCTCTTTATTGAGGAACGGCTCTCTCCGAACTGCTGCAGTAGAGTCTCCTCTTCCCTGGGCAAATAATTCTCTCTCAAAATGTTTTCTGCCGAGTGTGCGCAACAGTAAAGAGAGTTACGTTAAATGCATAGCGACAAGAAATTCCCCGCCTTTGTATGCTCCTCACAGCTCTGGAAGCCTGGCTCATTGGCAATTCTAATGGGCGCTGTGAGCCCAGCGGGGTCCGTCCGCCCACGCCAGGAGGCTTCAGCCGGGCAGAGAGTTCCAGGAGCTGGCGCTGCGTAGCTGCTATCTCTGCTTGTTGAGTTGACGTGAGACAAGTTATTACCATATAAATGAGATAAGGTCTTAGATAATTGCAGGCTGAAAGTAAAACTGAACTTGACTGCTTGTGGCTGGAAATTTTAAGTGCACCTATCTCCAATTTTTAATTTTATTTATTTTTTTTTTTAAAGTCTGTTACTTTTTTTCCTTCCACCCCTTAGCAGAATCTATAAGTGATAGAAAGAGCCCTTATGTTATCCAGTTGCGACTATTTTAGACCTGGAACTTTATGGTGCCTTTCCTTTCTCCTCTGCTGGTTATTATGAAACCTGTATGCAGAGGTAATAAAATTGCTTAGAGGAGAATATGAATGCCAATCCATTTGACCAAAATAATCCAGTGCAATCACTCTATTATTTTTTGTCTTAAGAAAAAGTAAAAGAAAATATCTTTGGCTGATTTCTTTGTTCCGGCTTGTCTAGCCAGGTGGTTCAGTTTAGGAGATACTTTTCCTCTGGATTGGTACCTTTCTTTTCTGTTCCCAGGCATCTGACTGCAGTGTGGAGTCATTGAGTAAAAAGTGATATTCTACTATATTAATCTCTGTGTTAATCTTCCCCTTCCTGTGTAGGGCATAAAACCCTAAGGAAAGAAAGAAATATTTCATGTGTCTCACCAAGGCATGGTGTAATATTAAGGATCCCTTTT